CTTCAATACAGATTACATCTCAATGTCAAGAAAATAAAGATTCTTACCACTGGACTGATAGGCAACATCATGATGAAAGGAGAAGAGATTAAAACTGTCAACAACTTCATCTTACTTGGATCCTCAGTTAACACCCTTGGTACCAGAAATCAGGAAATAGGGAGACACATTGAACTAAGAAAGTCTGCACTTAGGGATCTCTCCAAATTATTGAGGATTAATGATGTCAGTTTGATTCAGGCTATGGTCTTTCAGATAACTTGCTATGCATCTGAGAGCTGGACAACGAATAAGGATGACAGAAGAATAATTGATGCCTTTGAGCTGTAGTGTTAGAGAAGAGCACTTAACTTCCCATGAACTGACAAAAGAAGCAAATATATCTTGGAGAAGGTGCAGCCAGAGTGCTCTTTTGAGGCAAGGATGATGAAGGTTTGCCTCATATACTTTAGGCATTTTTCTGGGAAGAGCTATTTCTTGGAGAGCAACATGATGCTTGGAAGGGTGGAGGGTTGGCAAAGGAGAGGAAGACCTTCAACAAGGTGAATTGACTGCCGTAATGAACTCTAGTGTGTCAGGAGATGTGAAGGTGGCACAGGATAGGACAGGATTCAGATGTGTTGTTCATAGGGTCACTATGAGTTGTACTTGACTCAATGGCACCTAACAACAAGCAGATGAACATATTTTGCTAGGCTTCTTAAATGCTAGGACAGGCTGTATCTCAGTTACATCTGAGAAAAATTTCCTCCATCATTACCCTTGCCTAGATACTAACACTGACTGGGTCAATCATCTTATCTCTACTTGAATGCAATACCTAAGTGTACTCCAAATCCACAGTTTTTTGGTTCTTGGCATGTTATTGAATCTTGACAATAAAGTGTTCATCCAATACCTCTCTCCCTTAAAATACAATGACAGACTCTGTCTCATCACCCACTCCTGTCTGTATTTTGGGATTCACTGTCCCTATCTCATATCCAAGAAGTCCTGTTGGTATAATTGTTTAAAGCATTTGGCTGCTAACTGAAAGGCTGGCGGTTCAAGCCCACCAACCACTCCATGGGAAAAGGTTGTGGTAATCTGCTTCCACAAAGATTTACAGACTTAGAAATTCTATGGAGCAGTTCTATTTTGACTTATAGGGTTTTTATGAGCTCTAAATCTGAACATTCAGATTAAGACAGACGAGGAAGAAGGATTGGCCACCCACTTCTGAAATAGCAGGCCTCTGAAAACCCTATGCACAACAGAACACACGCAGACTAACAGAAAGGGCAACCTAGGT